TCCCTACCATAGTAGAGACATCTCCTACAAATGTCCACTGATATTTTTTTTTTATTTTTTTTTCAAAAAAAAAAATTTTAAATTCGTTTTTTTTTTTAAATATTTCGAAAATAATTAGTCAATTAGTCAAAATTAATGTTTTGCATCTAATTCGATTTTTCATAATTAGGCAAAATTAATAATTTTGCATCTAATATGTGTTGTCCTTAATTTGGTTTAATTTTGCATAATTATGCGTTCATTAATGTGGCGGTGTGGTGGTGGTGGTGCCAGGGTATTAGTGGTGGTGGCAATGTAGGTGTTGTGGTGTGGTGGTATGAATTTGTGGTTTGAAGGTAAGTATGGGTGAGGATGTAATAATATTTAAAGTAAGGGTATGATGGTAATTAACATTGTCAACTTGAGTATTTTTATTTCGTCAAATAGCAATTCAGTATTATAATGTGTACATTACATTTATACATTCAGGTGTAACTAATAATATTGATACGTCCAAAAATAATAATTGTACATTTGAAAAAAAAAAAAATTGTATACTACTTGTATTTAATTCATTCAAAAAAATCAAATACTCGTATCGAATTCGAAGTAGTATGAGTTTTTCTCAGTCCAATGATCCCATATCAATGTACGCAATAGCCAATTAGCCATCAAGTTAACTAGATTTCATTCACAGACAAAACAAAGTCCGACTCAATAGCAATTTAGCCAACGGTCAACCTCCCATCCGTACTCTAGTTGAGAAATCAACTGGACTAAATGAGAAAATTCATAATCAAAATGAAGTCTCAGTTGACAGTTTGGCACTCACATATACACTGCAATTGTCCTCGAAAGATTTTGGAACGACCAGAAAAGTGTTCCTCGCTATATTGACAGGTGAGCTAATCAGTTTTTTGGTAGTTGAGGTTATATCAAGTTGTGATGAGTTGTTCATCACGATTTCGTTTACAAAACAATCAATAAATTCAGAAAGTGCCTGATGATTAATACCGAAATATTTAGACTATATGGATGATCCATTATTTAGAGATAGTGTATGTGCAGATTTCATTGGTGTAAGACTGTACGCCTTTTCCAGGAGATAAACCAATCGTCAACTGCACAATCACTCATCCCGTTCCACAGGTTGACTTATGAAGCTGGACCACGCACGAATTTTCCAGTTCTAAGAATGTAAAATGATACTTACCTTTGTAATTGTAATTGTACAACTAGATGCTGCTTCTCATGACATTACGTACTCTGTATTTCATATACATTCAACACAATCAATCTATTTCAGGTTGGTTTGCTTTGGGTCAAATCAGCTTCAAGTTACCTAATTTCATTTACAGTAACGCTATATGCTTGTTTCAATTGGTGATGGCCACAATAAAACTTTCTTCACACAGAAATTACAATTTGGTCAAGGTTTAAAATATACTTTTATATTTTAGTTAACCAAGAAACAATACAAGACTTGTAAATCTATTGTGAACCTTAAAGAAGCAAAAGTTTTAAACCTGGTCCCCGAAAACCAATAAAAAAAAATACCTGATTCTTACGGCATCTGTTTCTGCACAAATTTTTAGATACTTGGGATGGACTTGGCTCTGATAAACTGCTTCAGGATAGCTTTTTCTTCATCGATGCGCTTCTTTTCTTCAGGGTCATTTGTCTTGATCTTCCTCTTTTCTTCTAGCATCCACTTGAACAGCTCCCTTTGCTGCTGCTCGGGAATTGGTTCTCGCACTCTTGTTGCCTGTGCTGCTGGCAGACTCGCAGTAACAGCAGCAGTTGTTGGGGTTGCACTTGATGTTGAGGGTGTCGGCGTGAGAGTGGAAGCTGCATCAGTAGTTTCTTCCTCAACAGTTATGTCTTTCTTCTTTGTCCTCATAAACAGGTAAGCTATAAGACAAACAGACAGCTATCAGGAATTCACGCATGTGATAACATATGATCACAAGAAGTAACCACACTAAAGCACTATAACAAACAATGCTGCAGGAATCATATTGTCAACAGCAATTGGTTTACTTCAAAGAGAACGCCAAGCAAATGCAATCAAAAGCCTACAGGATCAAAAAGAGAACTCAACAAACCATTGCTGACATGACAATCCTTAACAATTACAAGCAAGATTTTAGGAACAAAGGGCAGAAATTGCTCCGGCAAAAATCTGAGAGCCTCAAAAATAACAACAATAAATGATGTGATTGGCTTTGAGAATTACATTAACAAACTCAGAGAAAACTGTTTTTGTCATGTTAGTAAAGAAGACATGGAATAACAGGGGAAGAATGAGGTGAAGCTTAGAGTTTAAACAGGGAAAAATAAAGCCTCTGCCTAGGAACCCATATTTGAAGGCTTTGTAATTAAGGGCAACACTAATTCAAAATATTTTGACCAAACGGCAAAAATCCGTCACCATTTTAGCTATTCCATGATCCAAATGGTCCGATTCTAAACTCACTGTTGATCACATTCCTACAAAGGCAGCAAAGATAATATGCATTTCTCAAGGAATATTGTTATCCCAAGGAATGCCGTTGAATATCTCTATTTTATAATTTAGAGAAAGTATATGGCATTTGAACACTAGTAGCATATGGCATTTCAGACTCTAGTAACTTAGTAAGATAAGGCATCTCAGACTCTAGTAACATAAGACATCCCTGACTGAAAGCATGCTAATTCGATATATATATTTATTACATTCGTAAGCCACAAGTCATTGTTGTAGGTCTACACAATTTCCAGTCACAACACAATTACCAGCTTATTATGGTATAAGCAATCAATTTTTGTAAAAGTTTTCTCTGCTTAACACCTTAAGTACAATTCATTCTTTGTTGGTGCACAGATTCAGTTGAAAACACACACTTACCAGTAACCAGCTTAATCTCTTGGAATGAGGAGTCTACCTTGTTTTTCTAGATTGTAACGCATAATCTAATCACCTAATAGCAACCTTCATTAATCGCGGTAGCAATCCAAGTCTCCAAGATCAAAATCAGCAAGAATATCAAATTCAGATATACTAGTCACAACATTCTGATCACCAAAAACATTCTCCAAATTAATCTCTATTCTCACACAGGCTACAATTGATTGCACCAAACCCAAATTACCATTAAATCCTAAAACCCAAATCAAGTACAAAATCTTCACCCCATAAATGGGCAATTTTCATCCAAACTAATTAAGACCCTAAAATTCCATCTTCCCAAAATTGCATTTAAACATTACAGTTCAGTTTCCTAATCAAACAAAACAAGCAAAATCACAGAAAACCCAGATGCCAAAACTCAAAATATGAACTGAAAGAGAGAGAAACGAACCTCCAATAGCAAGGTTGACAGACAGGATGAGAGGCACGAAGAACTTATACCGCCTCACAAAAGACTGCTTTGGAACCTCTGGAGGCTTGGAAGCACCGCCGTCATAACCACCACCCGTTGACGAAGAAGATGATGGTGTTGCTGTTGTTGATTGAGCTTCCATTGTTACTTTGGATTGCTTCAAATGAGCTGTTTTCATCAATCAAATTAATTTAGCCAATTTTATAAAATTACAAGAAGAAAAGAACACGATTCCATCTTTGTTAGTGGGTCGCAATCACAATCAATCACATATTTTATGGGAAAATTCAGCAAAAAATTAGACTAAGTAAAATAGAAGTGAAGAATAATAATATACCTTTCTTGGGTTTGTGAACGTATAACTTCGGAGGTTCGCTCATTTTTACTTTTTGACTGTTGGAAGAAATTTCTGGTGAGATTGAGAAATGGAAGATGAAACTATGAAAGAGAAAGAGTGAGAATAGAGAGAGAGTTGTCAATTCGAAGGGGATTTTGTGGTTTTCTCAATTGGTGTTGGTTGGGTTGTTGGCTTGTTGCTACACCGCCCTTTGAGTGGACTTGTTGAGGAGAGCCTACTTCATTGCAGTTGTGTTGCTATGACTATGAGGCCCATCGAATGGGAGTTGCATTGTTCTAGTCTTCTCCAGTGGACCATGTGGCGTTGGTTTAGGGATAACTCAATGAGTCGATGGGGGTAGGCCATATGGATTGAAGAGGTCTAGTGTTTCAGCGTCGGTTAATTGAGATAGGGATAGGGATAAGGATAAGGATAAGGATGAAACACCTTATTTTAATAATTTAAATACTTAATCATGAAGTGGATTAAGAAAGAGTGTAATGTTTTATGACTTAATCGCGGATGGTTAATGAAAGGAGAAGCAATTGGTGGTTTTGGTTTGGAAAGGATCGGGGAGGAAAAATAACTTTACTCTTAGTCAAAGGGAAGGAGGAGTTAAGGGTTGATAAGGATATTTTGGCAACTTGACACTTATTCCAATCTTATTCTCAACTCATGTCAAATAAAAAAAAAATGATCTATGTTATCTATCACTCCTTAAACTTCTATCCTTATCTCCCCAAATGTAGTGAGTGTGAAAGAGGTGAAGATGAATGTAACCTTGTAATATTATGCATTGCAATATGTACTATAATGCATTGATGCGACTTCATGTATCATGTGTTGCATGTGTATTTTACACATCGATTTAGATGTATTTTTGGCTATAAAATGACTTGATAACACACAATTATCTATTTGTAGAAGAAAACATACAAAAGAAAATATAATCCTCAATTTCATTAATTTTGCCTGAACTAGTTATACCACTAGGGATAATGTGTATGGAATAGCTCATGCAGTCATGCATGATGAGTTGTTAAAGTGTTTTATGAGTTAATCATATTTTTACTATATAATATTTTCCTAATCTTTTATTTATTATTTTAATTTTTATCATGTCCTGTGTGTATCAAATGCACTCACAAATAACATTAATAGCAATCTTTGAAAAATATAAAAATAATAAGGTTTTTTTATTCAAGTAATAAAATTCTCACCATAATCCAACACCTCGTTCAAGTTTCCACACATCGACACAGGATATGAAACTCGATGCGGGTTTTGACTAGACCAAGGTTGGTATATTAATATTATCCTACAAAGTCACAACTCACAAGTTGGCTAGACTGAAACTGAAGAATAACCGCAATACGGCAGAAAAACGATAAATCTTGAATAAAACCTCAACCTCAACCTCCTCGAAGCCTCCTCTCTTCTTCGACTGCATCTGCGCACCATCTTGACCTCTCTCTCTCTCTCTCTGTCTCCTCCATTAACACACGTATAATGAGCCGTTACGATTCTCGCTCTACTGACCCTACTTCCTACCGCGACCGTCGCAGGTTTCTCCTCTTCCCCAATTCCTTAACCTAGAATCACACATCATTTCACAATTTCATCTCTAATTTAATTGTTGGTGTTTTTGCAGTGATTACGGGACTTCTACTGGCGGCGGAGGTCGAAGTGGAGCGCCCTCCTCGCCGCAACGGAAGCTGGATTTGGATGGATTGGCGCCTTTTGAGAAGAATTTCTACGTGGAGTCCCCGTCTGTCGCCGCCATGAGCGATAGCGAGGTCGAAGAGTATCGCAAACTTAGGGAGATTACTGTCGAGGGTCGTGATGTTCCCAAGCCTATCAAAAACTTCTCCGATATCGGTTTCCCAGGTCTCCCTTTTAATGTTAAATTTGTTTCTAATAAATTAGGTACAGTGGTGGTTTGTTCAACTGCTGAGGATATTCAAGTTTTAGCTTTAGAGGAAATAAGGGATTACCTACATTCCCTACAAACTAACACCCTCGTGCTCTTTGTTTAACAAAGGAAACCGAGGTAGAAATTCATTTTCTGTCTGGAAAATCCACCCAGATTATGGAATTCTTATTTTTAAGGACCCCATCTTGCTTTTTTTTTTTTTTTTTTTTTTTTTGTCTTTGGATAACAATCATCTCTTGGATAGTTGGATTGGGTGTCAAATTGTAGTCAGAGTACTATCCTGCTACTTGCTGAGCTTTCAATGATGAACTTATCTGTAATTTACAAACTAGATTTGCAGTAATTGCCATTTTGATGTGGTGCTCCTGCAGTGTTCTGTGTCCATCTCTCTCTCTCTCTCCTGGTCTGGAGCATTTGTGGGTGTTAGATCCAGTTATTGACTTATAAATGGTTTGCCTTCTCGACTGCAGATTATGTCATGGAAGAGGTTAAGAAAGCTGGCTTTACTGAACCCACTGCTATTCAAGCTCAAGGATGGCCTATGGCCCTAAAGGGTCGTGATCTTATTGGTCTTGCTGAAACAGGATCAGGGAAAACACTTGCCTACTTGCTACCTGCTATTGTACATGTCAATGCTCAGCCAATTTTATGTAAGCATGCTTCTCTTTGAGTCTTGTACTAAAATTTCTAAGTGATCTGCTAAACCTGTCTGTCGTTGCCTCTTAATTGCCTCAACTTAAGTTCGTGTCATTCTTCAGCTCCTGGTGATGGTCCAATTGTGTTAGTTCTCGCTCCAACTAGGGAACTTGCTGTACAAATACAACAAGAAGCCACTAAGTTTGGCACTTCATCAAGGATTAAAAATACCTGCATTTATGGCGGGGTTCCTAAGGGACCTCAAGTTCGTGATCTCCAGAAAGGTAGGTGCTGCTTGAGTTTGACATGACTTTGTCCATCAAAGGGAGGGGACAAGGATATTTGAGATGCTTTCCTATCATATTGCGACTTTCGTGATCTGCGCTACTTGTTTTAGGTGGTACTCATATTTTATTATATTGATTTTTTATTGCGTTAAGGAATCTGATCATTTAATTGGTCGGGTCTCTTACACATAAAGCTGTACTGTTTCTCTGCAGGTGTCGAGATAGTTATTGCAACACCTGGAAGGTTGATTGATATGTTGGAATCTAACCATACAAATCTACGTAGAGTGACCTACCTTGTGTTGGATGAGGCAGATCGAATGCTTGACATGGGCTTTGAACCTCAGATTCGCAAAATTGTTACTCAGGTATGTGGCTTTTATTTTATTTTCTTCAGTACCATGTTATGTTTTATTGTCATAATGGAACTGTGGGTAGAACATTTCACCTTATATTTTAATAAGGGGAGAGGTTTAGCTGAACTGACAAATCACTTCCGTATCTATATTCTATAGTTTTACACCTTATTGCACCTCTAAAATATCTGCTTGCTACCTGAATATGGCTGTTGGATTAAATCTCATTCCCTCCCCCCTTCCTTTTTGGTGGTGGTGGTGGTTTGGGGTGGTGTGTGTGTGTGTGTGTGTTTGGGGTGGGGTGGGGTGGGGGTGGGGGGGCTTAAGAAAGTTATAAAGAGTATTCCTTGAAAATCTAAGTATATATTTGGGCTAAGTAGATGCATGCTCACTCATTCCGGAATGGTCGAGGAGATTCATGAGAGGCAAGAGCAGGAACCACAGCTGTTGGTAAACAAGTGTTTGACTCAACGCTTAACAGTCAATTAAATTATAACTTGAAATTTCTTACAACCATCATATTTTGTCGGTAATTCAATTTGTCGCAGTGTATGTGAGTCCAACTCTTCTACTCATCTTAGGGTGTTTACTTTTGGACACGTGATAAGGGTTTGGCAGTCCGATTTTCATCTTGACTCTTCAAATATTTGAGCCCCATATTTTTTGAGAAATACTACAAATATAGAGGGAAAGCAAAGCAAAAGGCATGAAATATGTGCCGAATTCTGTTTGATATCTAAATGTTACCCAAACTAGCAAACGAATCAATGCAAGGGGCTGTTTGATTCTCATAACGGAAAGGGAAAGGAATCAAGGAAGAGAAATGAATAGAAAAGAAACAATTAAGGGGCCTTAAAAGAATTATATTTTCTCGAGTGACTGTTGGACTCTCTATTCTTTTTATTATAAAAAAGTGATACTTCAGTCCTTCAATATGATCTCCATGCCGTAGCTTTCTTTTATGCTTCGTGAGAATCCCACTGTTTCCACCTTTGTTTTTCTCTCTTTCAATCTTAGCTGATATATTCAGGTTATCATTGTCATAATCTTTGACAACCATCTTCTTCTATGCATGGCCTAGATCTGTCCTTTTGGTGGTTGGGAATGGACAATGCTTTGAGATCCAAAACCTTGACGCCCAGGCCTGACTATCAAGGGGTAAATTTTCGCCATAAAGGCTCAGTTTCCTAGTTTGTGGGAAAGGTGATTGGGCTGTGGATTAGGATGTGATGGTGGGCCTAGGTCATTGGTGGTGGTTGCGAATGTGTAGTGGTTTTGTGGACAAATAAAAAAGGGTTTCTGGTGGTATTGCTTAGAAGTATGCAGGTGATGAAACATAAATGGATGAAATTCTCCATTATCAGATGCAATCTGAGTTGTGGTGGTGGTTTAAGCCCTTGTCTTCCGCCTTTGGTGGGGTTGGACGTTGGTGGGCAGGTGATCTGGTGGAGGTGAATGACAGTGGTGGAATTGGGCGGGGCTGATTGGGTTGGCGGTGCTCAGTTATGAGGCTGTAGAGGAGTTTTGGGGGGGGGGATTCAGGGAAGTTATTTTCGGATTACGCAATTTTTTATTATTTTATTTATTTTTTTTTTGGGGGGGGAGGGGGGGGGGAGAGGAGGAATTAAAATGAAATATGGGAAAGGTTAAACAAAAGTGGCTGGGAAAATTGCATAAAAAAAGAATTACTCGTTCCCTTTTTATCTCACGTAACCCCCTAAATATGCAGCCGTCAAATGTATGTGTCCATAATGTATAATCATGCAAAAAAAATCATTTTTTTTTTGAATTTTTTTTTGGAATATCTGACATGGATTAGTACATATATATTTTTTTTGGTTAAGGAGAATTCTCTTGCAAGTAGGGGGGAAATTAGGGATCCCACTTGGTTGGGGTGAGAATCGAACCCCTCTCAGAGGGGTGGAAGGACGGCCTCCAACCAACTAGGCCAACCTTAATTCTCAACATGGATAAGTACATGTACCGGTTAGTCGTATCCATGTCTAAATAACGTGTCAATAATAATGAGAATGTACCTTAACATGCTTAATAACCCATAAGATCTTCACAATCAGAGAAGAAAGGAGTAGAAAGAGGGATTTCTGAATGGTTTACCTTGGAGCCCAAATTAAACCTCCTTTGTGAGTGTTATTTATTTATTTTTATTTTATAATCTTGGATTTTCAGTGGTTGGTCCAATCCTGCGGTGTAATTTTTCCGATCAGAGAATTCTCTTTTTAAAGGAGCTTAGTGATAGTCAGCTCATATCTCTACACATTATGTGCATGTTTCAATTAGGCATTTGGCTGTTCTGGAATAGGTAAAGGTATAGAAGCTTCGTTTTAACTTTATGGCCATGCATGTACAATTATTACTTATATATATATATCTCTAAAAGTCTCTAAACTAATGTCCTGAGATGTAGACTTACCCAGCTGAATAGACAAGAAGTTGTAACTTGCTAAAATTCATTGTTGGTAGACTTGATTTTAACATCTTGTTATCTCAATGCAGATCCGACCAGACCGTCAAACACTATACTGGAGTGCCACCTGGCCAAAGGAGGTTGAACAACTAGCCAGGAAGTTTCTACATGATGCATACAAGGTAAGAATGTAAGATTTGATTTTCCATAATAATATTTTAATTTGGGGCTGGAAAGCACCTGGGTTTTTTGATACAATAAAACTGATGGATCCCGTAAAGTTGAGCTAGGTGAATTATTGGGATTTGGGATGAAACATGAAAGATTTAAAAATATAGGTGACTTTGAAAGTAGGTGGGTTTTGGTACTAAAAAGTATCAACAATGAGTTGTGGGTGCTTTCACACGCTTCACCCCAACACCATACCAAAAAAATGAAGAGGAATTTCTTGTTTGAGATTTAATCCATTGAATCTCTGCTCCCAAGTGTAATAGACTAACCTAAGGAGGGGTAGTATAGGTATTCTACTAATATTAGTTCACTAGGTTAATAGTCCTTAGTATAAATAGAGAGGGAAGAGAAGGAAATAGGTAGGCAAAAATTGGATTGAAACTTGTTGAGAGTTGTGACCTCAAGTCACTCATTTTAGAGGGTTGTGAGCTAAACTCACTATTGTAGATTAATAGCCTTAAGCTATTAAACCTATCCTTTGTAATCCTTCCACCATTATCAATCGTTAGTAAAGCTTCCATCTTTCTTATTTCTTCTTTATAAATCAATTTACCAAAATCAGATTATTTAGCTAATCAAAGAACCAATCTTTTCTCTATATTTTGCTGTTATTATTGTGAGTTATATCAGTTGATCAGTTCGTTACACCAAGTTTGTTTTAAGCTATCTGATGATGAATTATAGTTTCATTATTTTCATGAAGTGGTTTTGCTCTAGTTTGTTCTTGTGGATGTACCTTGTGTTAAATCTTGTCTCATGTCATCCTGTTTCGAAAATGTGGAAAGAGAGACTACTAAGTAGTTTTTTGTTGGGCATCTGTAGGTAATCATTGGCTCTCTAGACTTAAAGGCTAATCATGCTATTCGTCAGATTGTGGAGATCGTCTCTGAGAATCATAAGTATAAGAAGTAAGGAGATCACATATCCTTTTATAATCTCAGCTTAAATACTTGGCTTTTGACAATGCCTGCTGCCTGGGACTTACTTGTAATTTGTTCTAGACTAGTGGATCTCTTGGAGGACATAATGGATGGAAGCCGGATATTGGTATTTATGGACACTAAGAAGGGCTGCGATCAGATTACACGACAGCTTCGCTTGGATGGCTGGCCTGCTCTTTCGATTCATGGGGATAAGAGCCAAGCAGAAAGGGATTGGGTGCTGTCAGAGTTTAAATCTGGCAAGAGTCCTATAATGACTGCTACAGATGTTGCGGCTCGTGGTCTTGGTATGTTCTTCATGCATAGGCTATAATGTTTTGAACCATCCAATTATTGATGTTTCATTACAGCGTTTCCCATATTCTTTGACTGAAGGCTTGGAGCTAAGGACAATTGATGAGCATATTATATTGTTGTTGTTTAGAAGTTTAAAAGGAAAGCTAGATATGTTTTGCATCACCTATTCACGGTCTATACAAACAAAATTAGCTGTGCTCACAAGGCCATAACTGGTCTTGAGTCTTAACATAAGCAATATAAACGTTGCTTTTAGTTTCTTGATTGAACTGGCTCTCCTATTTTCTTTTTTAAACTGGTGCTCAAATCTGGTACTCCGATCATCTTGTGTAGCTCCTTGTTTCTTTATTAAAGGCTAGCGAACACATTCAATTACCATTATACTATTGCTCACTAGTCAAAATGGAAATCTAGATTTGAGCTATGTAATAAAGTTTCAACAAACAAAATCAGAGCCTAGTGGGTGCAATCAACAGAAGGTTGTGAGGCATAATAAATTTTATGGAATTTGTGTCCCTGTCCCTGTTTAAAACAATTGAATTTTGTCGATGAATGAGGATTTATTTGGTAATTATTCGACTTTTTGTTTTGCTCTAAGTATGCCACTAGCTAAATTATACCGCGTTTGAAATATTTCACGTGCTACGAACATGCTGCTAGGGGACCTAGTGTTCCCCTTTTATGATTTATCTCAGAAAGATACTCAAATTGTATACACAAGCTATGTAGTGTGTCATGTGTTATGCTGTGATCCTTTGATGTGGTTTCCAATTGTCATCAGTTCTGCTCTCCATAATAACAAATTAAGGTCAGGAGGGAAAAATACTGTTTTATTGCCTAACGGTGAACTAGGGTTTGTTGGATGAAACTTTTATTCTGCTGTGCTCAAGTAATGTAGCCAATCTAGCCATAGTTTCAAGTGCTTTTTATCCCCCCCCCCCCCCCTTTTTTTTTATTTTTTTAAATAAAAAATATAAATTTATACAAATATCCTAATTTCCTTGCTGTTGTTGTATACCCCTCCGTCCCTTTAAGTTCGCTTAAATAATTTCTTGATCTTGTCATCTTGGGAGATGAACTTGTCAACCAATTTTCTCATTGGGTTGTCCCTTTGAGCTTGCCCTACACCATGATGGCCATAGGAGACCACTACATACAATGTGTTTTGTCCCACCAGTTTTCTTCCTCAGTAAATCCACCCAACCAAGAGAGAATAAACTTAATATGCTCCTCTGGGGCAAACAAAAGTGGACGGAGGACATTTTTTTTTGTACTTACAATATTTTAATTTGGTCTGTGGCAGATGTGAAAGACGTGAAATATGTGATCAACTATGATTTCCCTGGTTCACTTGAAGACTATGTTCACCGTATTGGTAGGACAGGGAGGGCTGGGGCCAAAGGAACAGCATACTCTTTTTTTACAGCAGCAAATGCCCGATTTGCGAAGGAACTTATTGCCATTCTAGAGGAAGCCGGACAGAAAGTCAATCCTGAGCTTGCTGCTATGGGCAAAGGAGCTCCACCTCCTTTAGCTGGTAAGTTGTTTGTAACGAGTCGAGTTCTTGTTCGTCAACTAATCTTGAAAACTGCTAGACTTGGTTCCACCACAACGCATTTAGATCTTGGTACATGCTTTAGTGCTTTATTTTGGGCTGTGATGAGTCTTTCGTAGTTTGATGACAATTGAATTAACAACAGCAGTGGTTATGGTTTATTATTGGAGATTTTGAAATTTTCAATGATATTCAATTTTTCGTTGAAATTGATGAAGGATTTTTCTCTTGTATCTGATTGAACTTATCTGATGGAAAGTAATCTCTTATGTAGCAGTATTATTGAAATGTTCGAACTTACTATGTATTTTGTTTTCTGCATCGCAGCACATATCTCACAGTTTTTCTGTTTTCTGCCTCAGGTGGTATCCCAGAACGAAGGAGCCGGTACAGTACTGGCCGGTCTTGGAGCTAATAGAGAAAGGTTACACGAAGGGACATGATGTTTATACTCCGCCACCTCAACTTACATGTGTAGTTTCCTTTCGCATTCACCTTCACTTTCTGTAACCTTGTGCTAGGATGAGAGTCATGAGACAAGGAATGGTGCTTCAAATGACATTTGAAGGGTTATGGAGTATTCTGATAGTTTCTTTTAAATTAATATTGTGCGACAGTGGTTAATATTTGTCTGTAGAAGTATTAGCGATAGTTCTCAAATTTTTAACGGAGATGCTTGTATTTGAAAATCGAGAGTAGTTCTTGCTATCTTAAATTTTAGGTTATTTAGCGACCAAACACCCTACTGATTCAGTTATCCTGTAAGCTAAAGTTGCTGATGATTAATGTCAGTAATATGTGCTACTGGTTGCTGCACTGCTACTACTACTCTTAACTTCACACCTAAACAAAGATGGCCTAATTAGTACTCCGCTAGTTGCTGTAGTGAAGACTGGGGTAAAAGCAATAAACTTAGAAAATGCTGCTCCGCCATGACCGTCAGCCACCATCTCAATGAACATCTAACCATCATCATCGCAATCCAATTCCTAATTTAATCACAAAGCATGGTAAACTGATCATTAATTGAATCATGGCCTAATTTGTTTATGTTATTTGAACTCACTTATAAAACATGCTAGATTCGTCATTGATGCTATGCTCAATCAAACGACAAAATTCATGTAAATTCACTGTACTACTACTAGGGCTATCATTACTATGTACTCCTATTACAAAGCTAAGATATATTTTGTCTTTACTATAGAGATGATAACTTTTTTTATTAACATTTACTTTCTCTCTATCTTCTTCTGTTAAAACGTACTACATTTACTTTCTCTCTCTTTTCTCCACCTAAAACGTACTCTGAATCTCCATTATTTAAATACCTTAATTGTGAGCTTTCTTTTCTCCATTGAAGTAACTTTTATAACAACTTAGTGCTATTGATTTCTCTCACAAAAGAAAAAAATGTGTCATTGATTGATAATGATTTTATTTTGTTTTATGATATGTAGATCTTAGATATATTGTTGCTATTGATATGTCAAATGCAATTTGCTGAAAACTTGAAATACAACAAGGATTATTTTGGAGGAAGGGTTCCCAAGTTGTCTCCACATCATTTATATGAATTAGCTCCCAAGAATGATATTTCAATGGTTGGAAGCTTACAAAATAAAGGGATCACTAGTTATGATGAGTATGAAAGTCGAGGTGAAGCGTAAATCTTAACAAACCTAGAAATTTAGAGGATTGTCAGAGATTCAACATTGATTCTTACGAAGTGTTAATGGAAACGGAAGAGATTAAACAAGAAATAAGTAACTCAAGCCCAGTTTTTGGAGGCTTTTATGTTTATGATGGTGCGGGAAAAATGGATAAGCTAGATGCATACTGTAGGGTAATAGGTGACGTTTGTAAGATTGGGAGAGCAAGAGCAGGAACGGTTGCCGAGGGAGTGAGCGAAATTGAGAAGGTTGCCAATAAACCACTAATGCACGGTTACTCCGAGGGAGTGAGCGAAATTGAGAAGGTTGCCAATAAACCACTAATGCACGCAGTTACTTTGATAGGTTATGGAAAGTATGTGGAAAGAGGAGAAGAAGAATATTTTGTCATTCAAATTACGTATGGGACACAAGGTATTCCTTTGGTGAGAGGCCGAGTAAGCTATGAGTGTTTTGATTTTGTCATCTCAGCTACGCTCGCAGAGGATGAAGACTAACAATTACGAAAAAGGTATATTTCTATATTTTGATTTTATTTTTTAAGAACTTTGCAAGTTGCTTACATTAGAATCATGAACAGATTGTATCTTCTCCTTAAAATTAAGAATATGAGAACTGTCTAGATTTTAGGTGATAGTTTGTCTGATGTTTCGGCAAACTATATCATGTATTAGACAAAAGACTTGTGATTTTGATTCTTCATTTAAATTGGTTTTGATCATTTAGCAGATTTTATATTTGGGGTATTATGCAAATTTTTTGATATGTGTGTTATTCATTAGTTGTTAATCATCACTTACGTCTTCTGAATAAGATTAAATTGAGATTTGGGGTTTTTATTTGAGTTTTTTGGAGATGTTATTTGCACCTGTTTTGAGGTTCACATAATTAAATTGAGAATTGACTTATTCCCACTGAATAATTAAATTGAGGAAGAAATAACTCATTTTAGAGAGAATTACTAGAATAATGAACATGGAAGAGTAGGGAAAATGTGAATATTGTGGAACTTTTTTGCGTGTTTAATGTTGCACTTACCTCTAACTACAATGATATCAAGCTTTAACCCCAAAAGGACGGGGTTGGCTACACAAACCGGTCGGATTTCATCCCCGTGAGTCACTTGTAAAGATCCTGTATCCTTCGTTCATATTTGTCCAGTGCAATACCATCCTGAGATTTTTTTTTTTTTTTTCGTTTGTGATGCTTGTAACTATATTGAAGTGCAGCAATGAAAGAGACAAAAACGAAATGATATTTTTCACCTAGAACCATATTGTGTAATATATGGTACTATGGGCTATGGATACAATCTGATACAGATCTTTGGGATTGCTGTGTTAGTATTTCAACATGCGTTTGTTATAACATTTTAGGTGTTTTTTGGAACTCAATTTTGTATTTCAGCAACGAAAATATTACAGTTGACTGATCTTTTTACCAATATTTTTACCATTCTTATATCATACATTCATACTATGTACAAGGCTTTTGTGGCTTGCAAATAAGGTGGAGTTGAAGTAATTTAATAAAATTATGACTATTGCTTTGTGAAATTTCTATGGTACACCCGAGTGCATCATACCATGTGCATGGCGTACCCGGAAAGAAACATTACACATATGTATAAATAACACGGATAAAAAAAGAACATTACATACATTTACAAAGAATGTGAGCATAATATGTTCTTTGATTTTGATCATTATGTTTTTTGGGTATGAACTATATGTTCTTTAAATTATAAATTATGTTCTTTAATATAAAATATGTTCTTTTACTTGAATAATTTGTTCTTCTATGCTCATGTTCGTCTGTTCCTTTATGTTCTTTAGAGTATGATATTTAATTTGTTTTATCATTGGGGTATTCGCTTTAATCCCTTATGTTCTTCAAAGTTCTTGTTTATCAAGAGATCCAATAAAGATCATTATATGATATAATAATAATGAACATATTGAAATTACATAGTTTTAATAACTTTTTGTATATTACAAACAAATATAAAGTATAACATGTTTTCAGGGTGAAGAACATTATTAAATCATGTAAAGAACATCAGAAGAAATACACATAACCATTATTGATGAATATTATAATTTATATATATATATTAAAAAAAAATTGATGAAAAAATATGACCTAAATAAAATATTTTAAAAACTGAAATTTGGTAAATTGGATATTTGAAAATGAAATATTGACTTATTTTTGGGAGAAATTAATTTTAGAGAGAAAATTATTATGAGAACTCACGTTCTTTACAAAACAATGGCATGTTCTTTTCTATATACATCCATGTTCTTTACAATTTATAACAATGTTCTTTCTACTATATTTTTTTTTTAACCGGGTGCACCATGCGCATGGTGCACTCGGGTGCACAGATCAAGAATAGGGCCTTATGGTTCTGACGCAACAAATTCGTGTTTGAACAAGCTTTTCTAGATGCTCTTCTCATTGTAGCGGGTTTCATGACACTGGTTGAGGAATATGGTATATAAGCCCTGAACCATGGATCTGCAGTCACTGCTCCTCGTTGGCAGCCCCCGCCTGCTGGTATGGTGAAGATTAACATTGACTCTCATGTCGTGGAAGGCAGATATTTAGGTTTAGGAGTGGCAATTCGTGATGAAGTAGGTGCTGTGAAGAGGCTAAATGTGCGGGATGCAGGTATAGCAGAGGCAACAGCCACACTCCAGGTAGCAATTCGTTTCGGATTCCGCAATGTATGGATCGAAGGAGATGTTCTAAACGTGGTGAAGGCAGTGAACAATCCCGTGGAAGGACTTCACCTATTTTGTAAAATATTTGTGAGATAATTACTTGATTTGCATTGATGATTTTGGCCTATATTTATAGGCTACAAAAGATAATCTAAGGAAAACTTCCTAAACCTACCTCATATCAAATTACTATAAATCTATATTATGCCAACTAACAAAATCTAATCAAATCTTTCCCATAAACTTATCTTAACACCTGGAGCATGGTGAGGATCAAGAATGCCCAACTTGGACAAAAGATAATCAAACTGACGTTTACCAAGTGCTTTTGTAAAAGTGTCTGCCAATTGAGAGTTAGTAGAAATGTATGACGGAGCAATAATTCCTTCCGTAATAGTATCACACACAAAATGACAATCAAGTTCAACATGTTTAGTACGCTCATGAAACATCGAATTTTTGGAAATATGTAAAGCCGATTGACTATCACAAAAATAACGAAATTGCTTTAGGATGATGAACTTCAAGACTCTACATTAAACCTTTTAACCAGTTCAATTCACAAGTAATAGCTGCCATAGATCGATACTTTGTCTATGCAGAAGACCTTGAAACTGTATGTTGCCTTTTCGTTTTCAATTCCATGAAATAGGAGATTGACCCAAAAAAACTAACCACCCCATTAGAGATCGACGGGTAATTGGGCATGCGGCCCAATCCAAATCACACCGATCTTGTAGAGTTAAATCACTATCCGCACGAAGCAAAATTCCTTGTCCCGACGTCCCTTTCAAATACCGTACTACCCTCAAAGCTGCATCGCAATGCTCCACATGAGGTTGTTGCATAAATAGAGACAAAATATGATCCGAGTAAGCTAAATCCGGACAAGTTACAGCTAAATAAACTAACCTCCCAACAAGTCGTCGGTAGGTTGCCGGGCCCAACATCAATGTGTCATCCGCATGTCCTACATGGTGGTTTTGCTCGATCGGGAAGTCACATGGCTTTGCTCCTGACAAGCCAGCTTCCGCAATAATATCAAGGGTATATTTTCTTTGACATAAAAACAACTCTATAGCACTACATGCAACATCTATGCTAAGAAAATATTTTAAAGTGCCAAGATCTTTCATTTTTAAACCATCACCCAAATAAGCTTTAAAAGCACGTAACGCAGCGGAATCATTTCCAGAAATAATCAAATCGTCAACATAAATCAACACGTTAAATTTGAACAGAATTATTAGTGTATGTAAACAAAGAATAATCAGAGTAGGATTAAAGAAATCCATACCCTTTCAAAGCTGTGACTAATTAGCAAACCAACACCTCAGAGCCTGCTTCAAACCATACAAAGATTTTCTCAATCGACGCACTAATTTTGGATTTGAACATTCAAACCCGGGAGGTAATTTCATGTATATATACCTCCTCCTCTAAATCTCCATGGAGAAATGCATTGTGAACATCCATTTGATGAAGTTCCCAATTAACTTTTTGATGCAGCAATGGCTAGAAAGGCTCGAATAGTAGTCATTTTAGCAACGGGAGCAAAAGTCTCATTGTAGTCAATGTCTTCCATTTGATGATTACCGAAGACAACCAATCGTGACTTTAAACGCTCCACATCTCCATAAGAAAGAAATTTAGTTCTTAAAACCCTCTGACTACCAAGAGCACGTTTTCTCGGTGGTAACTCCTCTAAAGTCCACGTTTCATTATCTTCTAAAGCACGAATTTCTTCTTGCATTGATTTCTTCCACCCTTCGTGTTTCATTGCTTCCTTAAACGATTTCGGATCTTGACCCGAAATAATAGCTGCCAAATACTTATGATAATTTACAGAAAAATTGTCACAATTAATATAATGTGTTATAGGATAAGGAGTACCTGAGAATTGCTATGGAGATGGACTTGACAAAGATGGACTTTTTGCAACGATAGTATGAGTAACAAAATCACGCAATAATACTGAAGGAATCTTTGGACGAAAACCCTTCCCCAAATTTTCCTCAACATTGGGTTGCTGTACTATATCTGGGCTTGAAGAAGACTGGGTCGTAGATGAGGTGACCGGCTGCTGCACATCTACATCAAGCTGGGCAGACTACTGTGAAACGCTTATAGTTGGTTTTCCAACTTCAGTGAGTTGGGTCGGTTCTGTTGTGGGCTTAAAAGGGGAAGTACCATTAATATTTTCAAAGCCACGTCCACTTTGTGGATTAGATTTGTCAATTAATTCATTACTCATTGGCACTATATTTTCCAGCTCAAGATTTTCTTCTTGTGAATCAAATAAACGGAAAAACATCCTCAAAAAAATTTAACATCTCTCTAAGGACAAAAAATTCTTTCTTATCAAGATCAAACAAATCCTTTCTTTTCGAATGAGTACCCCAAGAAGACACATTTCCTACTCCTACTCTCAAATTTATCCCCTTTTATCTTTTGGTTATGGGCAATACAAACATCTAAAGACACGAATAACATTATATGATGATGGAAAACCAAATAAAATTTCAAAGGGAGTTTTGTTATTTAATAAGGGAGATGGAGTACGATTAATTAAATGTACAGCTGCAAGAGCACACGCTCCCCATAAATAAAACGTAAACAAATTCCACAATTCTTCAACTTAGTTTACTTCTTTTTTTTTTTCTCTTTTTTTTTTTTTTTTTTTGAAACATTCAACTTAGTTTACTTAGCTTCCATTGTTTTGCTCAATAATTCAAGATTTGCTAGTGTCCCTACAAATCATCACAATTCTCTAAGAAAATGTTGTTTGTATGTGAAAGGTAATATACTTCACAAATATAAAAGATAGTGTACTGTCAATCAAGGAAATGGAGTGATATTAGCTAGCCCATGATTTGCATATCAAGAATAATATCACATTGCATCTACCTTATCTTAACCATATTAAGAGCATAGTCCTTCACAGTTCACACTTCTATTGAGCGTTCACTCCCACAGGTAGACATTAGATTCCAAAAGGAAAAACTCTTTAAATGCGGGATTCCAAATCGGTAAAGGAATCTCCACATGCATCATCATCGTCTGATTTAGCCATAAAATTCATATGAACCCGGCCTTAGCGTCTTGCACCATTGTTGTGACCTCCACAAGCCTAAACTTAGCATTCTGAAATACACTCCAAAACCCAAAACAAAATCATATGCATTCTTTTCTACCATACATAGAAACCCCAGGGATATTTTATATTACTCAATAAAGAGAAGGACTCTGACTGAACCTCAACCCTCACGGTTTTTTTGGTCCGGTATTTGCGGGTTAGACACTTTAAGAATGAGTGGGGAAGGGTAAGGGATTCCCACCCTCAAAATGCCTCTAGTAGGAATTGAACCCCCAACCTCAAAGTTGAAAGGTGCAATCTTTACCACTCGACCAAATTTACCTTGGTTACTCAAGTATTCATATTATATTAGAAAATTGTTGCCATGAGTTGCCTACACTCCATTGATGACTAAGCGACACATTGACAAATTGCATTCCCTTGATTTTAACATTAAAAAAAATAAAAAAAATACATTCCTACATTACGAGCTATTTTAGTTTGAGAATTAGCAATTTATTGAATGAATTGCGGAATTGATGTTGATAATATACGATTTAGAATGAACTACATTCCTACATTACATATATAGCCTTAAAAAAAAAAGAGCATAGTTTCATTAAGTGGAACGCTAAACGTCGCCCTTGAATGTCTAACTAACGCCCGCAAAATAACCTAAAATGACGTACGTAGCCTTGTTATAAAAATATTATAAAATCAGTTTCCCCTTCTATAATTCTATGACTAATATTGAAAGGTATTAGATCTATTATAAACAACAACAACAACAATTATAAACAACATCATCAATTATAAACAACAACAACAGCAATTATAAACAACAACAACAATTATAAACAACAACATCATCATACGATTTTTTTTTTCAAATTATAAACAACAGCAACATCACACGAATATAAGGCAGAAACGCCCAATTTTTTCAACGGATCTAGGGTGAAACGCCTAGAATTTTCGTATAACCGTATGGGTGAACGAAAATTCTAGGCGTTTCAGCCCAGAATTTGCGAAAATTTTGGGCGTTTCTGCCAATTCCAGAAAAAAATTAAAAAAAATATACTCACCTTGTCTCCGGCGACTCCTTCGACGACAACCTTTCCCTTGTCCTTCCTCGTCATTTTCGCGTCTTCCCTTGTACGTGGTGGAGGGTGGGACGTGGTGGTAGGTGGGATGTGTGGTGGTAGTAGTGGTGGGTGGTTAAAGGGCGTGGTGGTATGTGGTTAAAAAAGGAGGCGATGGTGGGTGGTTAAAAGAGGAGTTGGTGTGGGTGGTTCAAAGAGGAGGTGGTGGTAGTGGTGGGTGGTAAAAGAATAAGGTGGTGGTGGTGAGAAGAGGGTTTTGGGAGTGAGGGAGTGAGAATTGTTTTATTTTATTTAAGGGTAAATTTGTAAAATAAATTTCATTTGCGGGCGTTAGTCGGAAATTTGAGGGCGATATTTAACAAGCCTCTTAATTAATAATATCCGCCAATGCCATATTCCTCATAAAAATGAAACGTGGGTTGACTAAATGAGCTATTTTCCTCAAGTGATGTAACGTGGGTTGGCGGTTACTCTAGATTAAACCACTTCTTAAGAACACACGTAAATATAGTAATCAAAACAAAGGTTCAATTCTTAATTTCACCATTAAATTAAAACTAAGTTATGAGCTTATGGTTTGATAATTAGGTCGATAATATTCTCAATTAGAATTGAGAGTTTAGAAACATGTTTGACAACGTTTTTGGATGGAGAAAAGCTTCTAAGTGGTAATTTTGATAGTTAATACATAAATATTCTCCCTACACTTTGTATTATCGTATTGATATGATTTGCTTAAATGTTTATGTAGTTTTCCAATTATTCACCTTTTTATTTTCTCTTAGACTTATTTGTGATATCATTTTTCAGTAAGAAATTGATCAAGAGAGTTCAATGTCGACTGAAGCTTCTAAGAAGCAAAAGATTTGCTATCATCCGGCATTTAAGAGAAGACATTGCTCAGCTTTGGAAGAATGGATATCAGCACATTGCCTACAACAGGGTAAGTTTCTGCTTATTTTATCGAGTCGAGTTTGAGATTGCTCATAGCATTTCATAGTAACTGGCAGAATAATACTAGTCTTGGTTTGTGCGAGTAATCAAATTCAATTACTATGCATCTGGATATTGATCTAAATAAATTTCTGATCTATTTTTATGCAGCTAGACCAATTATGCATAGATGAGGATATGATGTTAGCGTATCAGCTATTGCATCAATTTTCCGAGTTCATAATACTCAACCTTTCGTACATTCGTAGACACAAGTATGTTACGTAGCTCAATTATTTGTCCTGTAGATATCTCATAATATTAATTGGTATATAGCATCACATTGCCCTTGATATTGAAGGGACCTTTCTAAGGATGTGCACGAGGCTGTTTCGACTCTCATATTTGCCTCAGTGAGATGTGGTGATCTTCCGGAGCTTAGGCTTGTCAGGAAGCTCTTTGAGGAGCGTTATGGCCGGAATATTACAATTGCTGCAGTGGAATTGCACCCTGGAAACCTTGTTAACATTCAGGTCTGCTACATACCTGTAGTTTGCTTACCTTGCTTTTGTTGAGTAATGTTATTAGAGCAATTGAGCATTACATTGTTTGGTCGAAACTGCAGGTAAGGGACAAGCTGACCATACAATCAGTTTCAGAAGATGTAAAGAACAGATTGTTGGATGAAATACTGAAAGTTTCTCTCTTCAAACCAGGGCTATTAGCCCTTGAATACAAGCCAGATTCTCAAGTTCAATCCTCAAAGGTACGACAATTACTACCTCTGTTTCACATTAGTTGTGTATTATTTGTGAAACATAATAATTCTAAGTTGTAACTAATATGTAACGGAGGTAGTAATTTTAAATTACATGATCACAAGCACTGATAAAACATTTTCGAGTACATTTTAGTCCAATCACGTGTTAAAATTTGATCGTTTGGGTATAATGTAAAGGTAATTGGGATTTTTCTAACATAATAGGATGGTAGTTTAGATTATAATTGGATTTCTAAAACCACTCTTAGGAATCAACTCGGAGTTTTTCATGTAATCGCCAAGCTGAGCATGATGTTCACTGCAGGCTATTGAATTGTATGAAGCTCAAGGGAAAGATAGTAGTGTCAATAAAAACTGTGACAGTACTTCCACTAGCTGTTCAATTGTGCTGCAGTCTTACCCTTCTGTTGCAGAGGCTCCAAAAGAAGCAAAAGTGCACAGCTTTGCGCTACTGAGTAATCCTTATAGTGAGTGTGAAACTGGTGCTATTGAAGTAATTGAAGCAGAACAGACAGGAAACGCCGCAGGCAGTGGCTGTTCTTCAAAAAGCTCAATTGGTCATCAGTACGCTGATCAGGATTCAGTGATTTACCTGGACGACATACAGGAGTTCAAGTCACCTACCAAACAAAGAAACAGCATGCACTGTTTGGATCAGGATCAGGATCAAAGATTCTTCGTGTTCAGATCTTCATCGTTGTATGACAAAGACAACGATAAATTAGCAAGTAAAAGGATAAGGTGGGGATCAGAATCTATGGAGAAATTTTATTTACTTGAACAGGGCTGTAAGAAGCTTGAATCAAGGTGTAGCTTACATCAACCATGCTACTTTTACACCAAAAACAACAATAATCAAGGGAAAGAAATCCAGGCAATGGATTCGTCACAAACACCCTTAAAGTTAGATTATATGGGTACCCTTTTACCAAGTAAGAGTAGGGCTCTTGCGCCATATGTAAAGGCTGCAACGATGCCTCATAGTCGTGAAATGGAGATAACGAGTTGTACAGAAATGTCTCGAACGAATTCTTTGCCAGTACAGATAAATTACTCTTCCCGGAAGCATGTACACCCGAAGTTGCCAGATTATGATGAGATAGCAGCTAAGTTTAAGGCACTTAAGAAAGTTCATCAACTAAACAAGAGTACAAGACCCTTGAAAGTGCCTGCACCTCTAATCTCATTAATTTTATTGTTTACTTATCTTAGTTTTCATATTAGTCTAGTTAGTTAGTTGATTGGCTTGCAGTTTTGTACACACTAGCTCTCTAAGCATCCCTCGCTTCCTTTTTTCTGATTTTTTGCAATTTCATAGGATTGGCTGGATATTCTTTTGATAATAGTTTCAATATTTTTCTTGAAATTACCCTTAGATTTGAGTCATTGACTTAATATCCGCAACTTTAACATACAGTTATTATCTTATCAAAATAGTATTTTATTCACAAAATAACAAAATCAAAATAATAGTGTAAACCAAAATAGCATGAAAGTATAATGAAAAGAACATTAACCAGGCCAGGATCATTATCTGAGTCTAGTGTTTGTAACCTTATCAAAATCATAGCGTCAACATCATATATAGTGTCAAGGATCTGACATAAATATCTGATGTGAAATGAGGCATCCAACCTAGTAACATAGTTAAGCATTCACGAGTCGCAACTCAGAAGCCAGTGCTAACATTGGTCTTAATCTGAAACTAATAAAAGCGACGAAGTACATAGGTACATATGAAACTAATTTAGGTAGGGGTGGTTCTAGTGGTCCTAAAATAAACCATCCCTAATGTCACATGATTCATCAACTCATAATGGTTGTTTTAAGGAATTCGTTATGAACATGTGACTGCATCCCCAACCCCCTTTTAATTTTCACTCCCAAAACAAAAAACGCGATTAATTTAATTCATCCAGTTACGCTCTACTAATTATCTTACTGGACTTCCTCCATAAGGTTCTAGCTCTTGCAACTTCATTCCCATTTTCCAGACGAAGTAAATGATAATATTCATTAGGAATTTCATTGGATGCACCTGAAAGAGATTGTAGCACACTATTTCTCCCACATTCCCTCCTATACTCCAAAGTAAACGCGCTGAGTTCATAATTCTCCCTCACTGCTTCTGGGGTTCCCTGCATCATTATGTAACCGGCTGGCTATTAGGTACATATTCTTGTAAAAGATGGGTACATAAAAGCACGTACAAAAACAAATCTAAAATAGAAATGAGAGTGATGCTCATGATCAATATTGCATTTACCTCTAGAATCCAGCTTATGTACTTCACATTATTCACATGCTGATTTGGATCCAAGTCGAACCATAAAGGCTGCAATTTGTTAAAATAAGATTAATAAAAAATATACTTGTATATAAAAAGACTTGTCTTAATAAATAAGGAGGATATGAAATTAAAGAGTGCACCTTAATTCCTCTTAGAATATAATCCGCCTTATCTTCATCAAGTTTTCGTAATTTCCTGAGTTTATCATCAACATTTAAAGGGGGATCAAGATAATCTTTTACATAAGGATCTCCACTTGCTTTGATCTCCTCTGGAATTCTTGAAAGCCGCCTCGTTTTCTCATTAATCATCACAAATTCACTATGTTTCATTTGCATATTCATCAAGATTGAGAGCTTAGTTAATGACTTAATGTTAGGAACTTGTCATTGTTGTCATTCTAATTAATTTATTAGTTTATCAAACTTTCGACTTAATTAAAGTTTGGAAATAACCTGTCAACTCGCATGATCTTGGTTCCTGTATTTGCATCTGTTAGTCTTGAGCTACAAGTGAGACAATGTTTTGTCAAGCCTGAACACCAAGTCTCTACTTGAACAATGTCTCCCCTGTAAATGGGTCCAATCAATATTAACTTCGAAGTAATTACAACATGGTCCAAGATCACCACATCATTTGTACGTATGTAAATAAACATAACTTATCATTTTGGAAAATTTGTTAATTTTACCGATGTAAAATGAAGCATCCTAAAATTAGAAACATCAATTAAAAACTACACTGTTTCAAAAAAAAAAAAAAACTCACCCTATTCTAATGTTTAAAGTTTCAACCATAGGATTCATATTATGTTATTTATTTTTCTTTCAATGATCTCTGAATCATGAAAGTTCTTATATGCACACCTAACACTAGGTGTACCCGAATACATAATAGAGTTCAATGAATTTACTATATTAGTGTGGTGACTCGATGAGTGATGCAAATTTCCTGCTTCAATTTGTTGATGAAGACAATCAATGACATGTGTATTGAATACTTGGTACGATCTAACACTTTCCATTAAATTGGTAGGTGGAGCGTAAATAGTATACTAAAACCATTGAAATTTATGCAAGAAAAACAAGAACAACTTCTCCTGGTAGTTAGAATTTATGGTAACAAGTCTCTCAAGTACACATGTAGTATTATTGTATTAATTTGAAGACCCCATTTTAATATGATGTAATCATAGCCAAAAAAAAAAAAAAAATGATGTTAACATAGGTTCATAGCACGCATAAGAAATTTACATGGGTTAAAATCATCGATTAATTAAAATAACGCATACTCCTTTCGTCACTATTTGTCGTAGCTATTAGCAATTTGCAGAAGTCAAAGTAGAGACAATAGATAGAGACCCATCGGAGTAGATTTTTAGTTAAGAGTATTATTTTAACGTAATAAAGACATACCATGAAGGGTAAGAATCAACTTCAACTTGCATTCTTCCAATCACCCAAATTAGATTTCTACTAGTCATCTCCTTTGACACACCAAACCCTTCTACTCTTAATCCCGAACTTTGAAATAGGTTTAAACCAGTTTCCTGCAATTTCATCATTCTTTTTATTAGAACAATGAATCATCCATATGACCATATAGTTTGCTGAAAATGGATTCAAACAATCATCTCGAACAGTGACTGACATAATTATTTTTTTTTTCCTTCCCGAACATTCTAAAATAGTATGGGGCGATGAGTTTATATTAAACACAATTTCTAACACTGTAGTACTATGTTTATGATGGGTATTTATATGATGATTTGATTATAGCCAACTTTGAAAAACTAAGAAACTTAGAAAAGTAAAAATAACAAACCTGTGTATAATTTAGCAAAGCCTCTAAAGAAGCCTTTTCATGGATATCAAGCTCATACAATCTAACCAAAAAATTTTGACCCACGACGTAACCATCTTGTGTAAACCTCCTTTTTTCCAATTCATGATTCACCGTCTACAAAAAATAAAACAATCTATAAATAACCCCATAAAAGAGGTAGAACATACGTGACTAACATTAACAATCCAATCAGCAACACGATTAGCCTCACGTCACAATAAACGCATATAATAGAATATATTAAAAAAATAAATTAAAAAAGATTACTCTACCTTGCTAATCCACTTAAAGCTTAGCTTAGCATAAAATAGAAGTACATACATACCTTGCCAAAATTGTTGATCTTCAAAGGGTCTTGAAAGTTATCAACCTTAACTTGCAATCTTGTAACATGGGAAGGTAAACTTGTACCAAAATTGTAAAGGTTTATGGCATTGTTATTATCGACTGATCTTCCTCTCATTAACTTTGATGGAGGCACCATTAATGGAAAGCTTGACAAAAAACCTGAAATTGCAGGCATTATTATGATTATCTTAGATCATATAGTATAAAAGTTTTCCACCTTAATTAAATATTATGGTTTATATAATTATAAGGTGTTTTGATCTTAGCAAACTAATAAAAAGTTGTGTTTATGACTAGTAAAATAAACTTATTCTCCTAAAAGAAGAATGGCTTTTGAAGCTCCTCTTCTTTGTAGGTGTTGAGGATATTTCAGTAGGAAGTTTGATAAATTTGGTTCATGTCATTAATAAAGTGAGGCAATGCAAGTAACACTGACATTTGTCATTACTCTTGTGCCAGAAAGTCCTTTCTTTTTTGAATGTCACTTACCCAACACATTTAATGAAGCTACCCATTTTTTTAAACCATCATCAACTTATCTTTTATACTCCCTCCATCTCTAATTGTTATTAATTATATCAATTTTACTCCTTTCGTCTCTAATTTTTTTGCCTTATTTTCTTTTATGAAGTCACAATTTATTAACTTTAACCATAAATCCTCATTGAATTATAAAAAAAAAGTTATTGAGATTTTGATAGTTCATTGGGACATGTTTTCAAACTACTCACTTAAAGATAAAGTAAATGGTGTAAATTACTTTCTCTGTTTCTATTTACTAGCAACACAACCATGTGGCACGCGCTTTGAGGTCGAGATTACATAATGTAAACAGATAAATAATTCAAAATAATTTTTACACATTATAGCTAACTATACTTTAATCCTTGATAAAATCGCTCGTTTACCTACATTAACCATCTCCTAAAATTGCGTGCCTAAAAAGTGTGTTGCAAGTAAAAGAAACAGAGGATGTATTACTCTATTCATTTCAGAATAATTGACACATTTTGACTTTTTACACTATTTTTCTATTAACTTTAACAATATATATATATACAATATATAAAAAATTCAAAGGTGTTATCATATAATATGCTATTAAATTAATGTTAACAACATATTTTCATAAATCAATGATTGAATATCAACGTTGATATGTGTATCTAGTCTAATTATTCCGTGTTTTGTAACAAAAGGAATAAGTACCAAGGAAATACTCGTAGTTTTTTTTTTTTTTTTTTTTTTTTTTTGTGTTTGAAATTTTGAATAGAGAACCAAGGAAATAGTTGTTTGGCCCGATAATTTACGGGGGGACAAAGGGTTCCAAAAATTATCGGACCAAAAAAAAAAAAAAAAAAAAAAAAAAAAAAAAAAAAAAAAAAGGTTCCAATAAGTGAAAAGCTTAAAATTTTGTTGATAAAAATAAAATCTTGAAAATTCCAACAAAAATGGCGTTAGCAAGCTCAAGAATGCTCCTGGTGCGAGCATCATGGGACACTCAACAAAGATTACCTTACAACAAAGATTGTCCTCGCAAATTCAGGAAATCCAAGTCCAATTCTCTCTCCTTAACTTCATCTTCAACCTCTCAAAACAAGCGGAGTTCCCGTTTAAAGTTTGATGTTGATAATCTTCTTAAGCTCGACCCTAAAACCCCTCAAAATGGTATTAAAGACTCTTTTTTTTTTGCATTTTACCTTTTCTTGATTTAATTTTTAGTTAAAATGTGTAAATTTCATCTGGGTGATGGTAAATTTGATGTATGAATTAAGAATTTTAATGTTAATGGAAGTTTAAGTTGTTGATTGGAGAAGGGTACTCTGTAAATCTATTGCTTAATGTGATAATGATTGGTTTTATATGATATTCGAGTGTGTTTTTCATCTGGGTGTGGATAATTTTGGTGTATGTTCTAGAAATAAAAGTGACGGTGATAATAATGGTATGTTGTTTTTGTGAGTTTCTGGGTTAAATTTGTTGCTAAACATAAGTATATACTTTCCTTTTGATTGGCCAGGGAGAAATTTGGAAATTTCTTATGAATGTTTAAGTATAATTTTAGTTTAGGGTTGAAAATGATGGAAAAAAACTAAGGCAAGGAAATGTGTGACACTTCATATATACTCTAATTTCCTATGTTACAATCTAAATGATGGAGAATTGTGTAAAGGACTAACTCACTAGTTCACCACATTCATCAATCAAACAAGTGAAAACTAGTTATATTCTCGGCTATGCTTTTCGATGGTTTTGAAAAGATTCACGGACATAGTATGAATTTCATACTTGCTCATACAATGAAGTACACGTAAGGATTTTTTATGTCATTTCTTTAGTTATTTTGGTGAATGTTCTAAGATATTCGAAGATTTTGATGATGAAAGTATGCTGCTCTTCAAATGGATGTTGAATTTTGTGGGGAGGTAGTGTTTGGTAAAGTTTATCCTTTAGATTGAATTTTATGGTTTATGATTGTCTTATAAACAGTTAACTTGGAGGGGCAGGCATACTTGGGTTATGAGAGATGGTTGCCAAGCCCGCCAAAGGTGGAGAAACCTCGGTCTTCACACAATGCGGCTTCCTTGGCGTTTATTGGAGACTGTATATATGAGGTATGCCTTTTACTTTATAATATTTTACGAATGAAGTTGAGCATGATTAAGCTTTACCTATTGTTGTGTATGTTAATAAATCCATGTGAGCACATTGCATTCCATAAATATTAATGTTTTTTAATTGTTGGTATATAAGGGTGCATAGCATACAGATAATAGAGGGTTTGTGCAGTGCAGCTGATATTATTAAAATGTAATACTCAGTGTGCTATGATTGCTTGGAACATTATGGGGTTTTGTATATCACTAAAGAGTATAGAATAACCGATTGCTTCTTTTAGATGAACATTGTTGTGTGGTAAGTATGGCAGGAAGTTCGTATCATTTTATCTGTCGTGCATTAGCTTTTTATTAATCCCTTAAGTCACTTTGTATGCCATTTGGCAAATGAAGTGAGACGAAGGGAAGTATCATTAAATCATTAATCCTTCTGATCTGGAGGCAAAGGCAATCCTGCAATCGTGGAGTTCCTCATAAATAGATGGAGGTTCTGTTTTATGGAGATGTGTGAGGGGTGTTGTGGGGGGGGGGGGGTAATAATTTGGTGAATGCTTGAGAGTTGGGTCTATTAGATCAGGCTTTGGAGAGGTCTGTGAATTTAAGTTAGTCCTTACTTCTTCGGGCTTCACTCCTACAGTTCTACTTGATTGTATAATGCACACAAACAACATTGCCTATCCCATATGAGGATTATTGGCTTTCAAAACTGTTTGCATTAGCTTCAAATTGCTTGGTCTTATTATTCTACCATTGCTAGGGTACGAAGATAAATGATTACTTCTGTCAAATTACCATTAACTTCTTCGCTCACTATTTATTTATTTGAGATATGCAGTTGTATGCGCGGAGGCATTTCTTAACACCTACACTGAATATTGAGGACTACAATGATAGTGTGATGGAAGTAGTACGCTGTGAGGCACAGGTCTGTTATTGTTGCATTTTGAAACAGAATCTTAAATTTGTGGGTGTTTGGCTCATCTAGATAATAAAAATGTTGCTTCTATCAGTCTCTCTGAGTGTCTTCTATATAGTAAAAGTGAATTATCTTATCCTTTACGAACTTGTTCGAGTTCTTATTTTCAATTGTCTATTTCAAAAAAAAAAAAAAAAAAAAAAAAAAAAAATCTCGATCATGATATTGGTGTGTCATATAATTTAGTTGATGAAATTATGAAATACTCTGTATATGAGATGGGTTTTTAGGAAAAGGTCAAATCCCAACCGTTACCTCTGCAGCATTTTCTTTCTATTTAAGTCATCTGCGAAATGCCATTAGAACTTCTTCCATTTTCTTAAGTTGTCTCTTGATAAGCGTAGTAACGAGGACAGGGGTGTTTAATTCTATTTGGACACCTTTGAGCCTAGGACTAAATATGTATTAGATCAGTGTGATTATATTTCTAAATGTGACTGGTTATTATGGAATTGAGCTTACCATCCTAACTTTGTTGTACTTTAGGACTTATATTTTAGATGTAAAATATATTGTAGCTCTTTTTGTCTAGATCTAATGTTTGGTATGATTGTTTGCACCTTTTCAGGATGCCCTACTTCAGAAACTTAGTAATGCAGATTATTTGTCAGAAGAAGAAAGGTACCTTCTTATTCATTGACTTTCCATCTGTACTAGATGTAATAGAAATGGCAATCTGCATTGCATGTTGGTTCACTGAAATGTCATGACTCGAGCTGGCTTCACTCCTTGAGTATAAAATCCTTGTAAGCCAAAGAGGTGATGAGGGCCAAGAGTCTTATGTGGACTCAAACTCTCTCTTTCCATGCTGTCTGGATCTGTTATGTGGCCAACTCCTCCATAGATTATATGATTTTCACACTGATCTTAACATCTTATTTATTAATTGCTTGATATAACTGTCACTACTCACAGATGAATATACTGCTTGTCTCTTGATTCTTGAAGCACCATTAAGTATTACTTTGATCTCCAGTTCCTTCATGTTCTAATATTGCATTTGACTCTTTGGAATTGATAGGGATGTTCTACGGTGGGGAAGGAACATTACTCCATCTAAAACCCGAACTACAAAACGTGCTGGTGTAGCAGTTTATAGCAGAGCTTCATCTTTGGAAACACTGGTCAGTTACTGTACATTATACTGTCCAGATATCACAGCACGGAATAAATATTCTTCTCATGAGTATTTTAACTTTTTTGCTTCGCGTCATATCCCTGCTCTCAGTTCTGTTTACATATCAGCGGGAAAAATTGTCTTTTCACATGTGGATTTAAACTTTGTTACTTCTTGCCATATCACATGGAGCAAAACCAAGAATTCATAGAAGGGTCAAGGGTGGAAATATTTGTATATGTTCTAAGATGAAGTAGACCTGCGCATTAGTTATGCATGCTCTAGTCAGCAGATAGATTGATTCGTTGAGGTGTCAAGTCCCTGTCAGGAGCCCGGTCATATGGTTAGCTGATTGTATACCTGTTTATTCTGTTATACTGAAGTTAATATTAAAAGATTGAAAAAGACATGTTGTTGCATTATGCACCAGTACTGTTAATTTACTCCCTCTGTCCCTATTTTTTTGCCCCATTTGACTTTTCACGGTCTCCAAGACGCGTTTTAAAATGTATATAACTTGATTTCTATACGTGTAAAAATTATAAAAACTTGATATTAATAAAATATACAATGAGACATTTAGACGAATCTAACAAGACCCCACATGACTATATTATCTCATGTTGATTAATGAGAATTTATGGTCAAAGTTTTTTGAAGTTTGACCCATTTATTTATAATGTGGCAAAAAAATGGGGACAGAGAGGGAGTATTATTAGGTTGAAATTTGTCCATACCCACATATACGGAGTATTTGTTAAACAAATTTGGTTTACTGTGCCACAGGGACTAGCCCTTTTTTATAAGGGGTGCTTTTGTGTGTGTTTCTTGATTGACCAGCCTAACTTTTCCCAAATTTACTTCTAACAGTAGTTATTAACTAATTGTTTGTTATCATCTCGAAGATAATGGATTTGTTTTCATGAAAAAACAAAATATTCAAATGCGAAAGGCATGCTTGCAGCTCATAAACCATTATCTTAAAATAAATTTGGGGGTTCATAAAGGAATTTCTTAGAATAAATTTGGGGGTTCTAAAGGAATTTCTTAGAACAAATTTGTCTTGACTAGTTAATGATGATTTTGTTTACATTTGGTTTGACAGACTCTTCTGGTTGCACTAAGTAGGATCTATGCCTGGTAGTAGTTCTGGTATTGTGAATTAAAAATGGACATTTCATGTAGAGAATCCACTGTTAAATTCCCTGCCACCTGTTTTACTCGTAGGTATTTGTGAGTATTAGACTCGGCTAAGTAATAAGCAAAATCCATGTTCTTGATACAAAATGATGTGTCAAGTATCCATACCCAAAAGTTGAGGGCATTGCTTGACATGGTTTACATTACTAGTTTTGTTCACTTAACCAATTGGTTGTTCTCTTGTAGATCGGTTACCTTTACCTTACCAATCCATTACGCTTGGAGGATATGATGTCAAGGATGGGATTCTCAGTCGGTTTTTCCAACCAATCAATTCTCGAGAGTGTAACTGGTAAGTTAAAAGGTTGAAAGCTCTCAGTAAAATTGCATTTTAATTGACTTGTCTCTTCAAGAACATCCATTGCTGTAACATCATGCTTTGACAAATGTTACTGAGCTTTTACCATCACTAAAGTAGTAGCATTTCATTACACATCACTTTTAGAGCCTTCTGCCTAACATGTTAAGCTGTAATACTTAACTACGCTAAAATGCTTGATTTTTTATTTTTTTTTCCTGTCTAAATACCGGCTGAAAGTAAAACTAAACTGGAAGTGGGGGATTCAAAGGGGGGGGGGGGGGGTGGAAACCTGTTTATGTTTATCTTATTGAGTATTAGGAAGCTAAGGTGATAGTCATTTAGCCTGATGTTTTATCTGTCTAAATACTGGCTCAACACTTGTGACAGTGGAGTTGTCAAGCTTGAAGCAAAAGAGACCAAGAGAGAAGAAGCCTCTACTAAGCCGATCAGAAACAGTGCCGAGCAGTGTTAATACAAAGGAAGCATTGGTAGAGTGTTAATAGAAAATGGTCTTGATGGTGTGGAGACATCAACAGCATTCAATTAGATTAGGGACTGGTTTAATACACGATCTTAATGTAATCAAATTATAATTGTTGGAAGTTTGCAGAGAAGTGTATAGGCGTATAGTTTGCTGGAAGTAGTATATGTATTCATTCTCGAGATCAAGTTATATCATGATCTACTGATTTAATAACAGAAAACTATAGTAGACGATTCTTGTTTGGCTTTATATATATACGAAGAATATATCAATAGAATTAATATATAAAAATTTTACTTCACATGATATAATGATTGAAAACTGTAGCCAAAAGCCTAAAATTGATCATATATGATTGCTCGCGTAATGATTTGTTCTTCTCTATCATTCGAAAGTATGAAATAGATTGGTTCTATCTACATGGACTACATCTCTACGAGAATTTCTTGAGCTCTAATAACTCCCGTCTTAGAGGATTCTAATAATTCTTGTTACTTGTTAGTATTTCCATGATAGCATCTTATGCCAATATAAAATTATGTTGATACCAACAAAATATTTTGCATATTCTTGTCAAAAACAATATACAGTAATTAAGTAGAATATTAGAAATGGCATTATGCTTCTTATCCTATTAGGCCCAGCCTGATTATTTAGTAAAGGAGTTGGAGAAATTTCAATATCTATTTTTCCAATCAATAAATTTTTTTTTTTTTGAAACCTTTCCGATCAATAATTTAGATAATCAAGGATAATATTCCTGAGAGAGATTATTCAAATAAAAAAAAAAAAAAAATCCTGAGAGAGAGAAAAAAAAAATAATAATCATAGGATATTAATATTCTGAAAATGAATTGGGCCCTTCTAATGGATAGGAGCATAGGACTTTGAGATTAGAAACAAGATTATCCTTAATAATTTAATACGGAGTAATTTGTACTTCTTATTAAATATTTTTATTATTTGATGACATGAAAATGGATTTGATTGGCAGCTGATGTGTTGTCCTCATCAGCTAAAGTTCATGAGTATTAGCAATTTTACTGCCATGTCAACAACTCAACAATATATTGGAGAATTAGATTATACCCGAGCCATGCTCGGTTTTTAATAATGGTAATCGAAATTAAGTATAAAAGTCTCATGAAAGATGTGATCTAAAAGTCCATCATAATAATAAATAATTAAAGTATTAAGTTTCTAAACACATTTATAATTCTGCAAAAATCTAATTGAAAAAAATAGACCCCAAAAAAACTCTAACATAGTTTAGGTATATAGATAGATGAGCTTAACATTTGAGTGGGAAGATTTTTCATGAGATAGCGCCATGTGTACAGTTTTGGAAAAAGATGACATCAGCAGTTGCTACTTTAGTATTAATTATAGATTTTAATATTATATAAAATGGATTTGATCTACTATTGCCCATATTTTGAAAAATTGACAGTGTGAATGGAATGTTAAGTAACATCACTTGTAAAAGTGTGTCAGTATGTTCGTGATTTGAAATCGAAACTCGTATATATATTCACTAGGTAGTATCCGTGTGATGCCCGAGATGTTAACTTAGTACAACTATGTAAAAAATGATCGATATTATAAAAAATAGAGAGGTGATAAAAAAATAAAAAATTAATAAAAAAAAATCCACAAGAAGCAAAATACTACAATAATTGAAATTATTAGTGTAACAACTTTGATTGGATAAACTTGGATATCAAACCAACCAACCAAATGGCAACAAAAAAAAAAAAAAAAAAAAAAAAAAAAAAAAAAAAAACCAGAAGAAGGAAATAGGCGCGGGATAATAGTTCTTTTGAAGGGAAAAAAAAAGGGTATCGCTTTAATATATTATCAATTATTTTTTAGAAGAACATGACTGTGGCATTGGTCATGCAAATATTCAATAGAAAAACATTCTTAACATTCAAAATATGAGGCATACAATAGTTTGTGTTGGGATAAGGCAAATTATCATTATTTGAATTGAGAAGCTAGTTCAATCCTTTGTATATGAATTTGTGGATCCAACTAAGGAATTTTGGATAGGCATGCAACCTAAGACTACCCTTGAAGATGTGGGACAATATTGTCTGTCCAATAATGTAGGAGGTCTTTGATATTTTTAACAATTATTTCCCCACCTCCAAATTAGTACTTATATAAATTAAATAAATGAAGTTCCATGTAGGACATGTTGCAAGGTAGCTATGTTTTTGTTTGGATAGACTATAGAGTTTATGAGCAAATTCAAGTTTATCATTATGATAAACTTGATTTGTTTATCAAAGGTTATATCGGAAATGTTGTTGTAGAAATGGTGGTTGTCAAGTAATTGTAATGGAGGAGATAGATATATGAAGGAAAACATGGTGATGAAAATGGCTTATTGATTTTTGTGGGCAATTGGGTTCGTTACTTACTGATATTTGTGGGCAACGACCTTCCTCCATGTAGATGTAAAATTTATCAACACTTTATTTATATTTTAATCATCCAATCAAATACACTCAAAATCTTCTTTTTTTTTTTTTTTTTTTTTTTTTTAATGTTGAACACTACAATAGATGTTGGACTTATCACTTATCTACAACTTTACCAACATTGTGTTATGAGCATTTTCAATTGATAGAACTTTCCATTTAGTATAGATGTAATATTATGTACTTACTATTCATACAAAATAAAAATATTATGCATGTACTTTCTTTGATTTTAAATAAGTATTGTGTATTACAAATTTTTATTCAAAACAAATCTAACAATTTAATATCCATAAAAAAGTAAGTGTTAACACTCCAAGTTAAGAAATTAATTTTTTTTTCTTTTTTTTGAAACATGAAATTGAAAATTTTAATTGAGCAAAGTAATGTATAGAATGGTTATGGACTAGAGAGATAATAAATTAATGGATAAGTATGACAAACTTTATTTATTTATTTATTTTTATATTGATAAGATAAGTATGGCAAAACTGATTTAAGTTTTCTTTTGAAATTACAACTTTGTAAGAATTTGTTTGTTTATTTTTGCTCTTTTTTTTTATTGATACTATAATTGATGAGGTCAAGAAAGTGGAACAAAATTTTGTGACTAAAACTTGGATAATGTGGAATCACCTTAGGCAACAATTCTGGATATACACATTATCACATATTACTGGCTGCACTACCATAATTATTTATTACTGTATTTCATTATTATAATTATGTGAGGACTGCCTAATTGAGTTATATCACACCAATATTTCCAACCTAACTTAGATCAATCTTAAGAAGAAGATTAAGGAATATAAAAATTATTAGTGTAATCATGTTTAAATTTCCAAATACATATATTGGTCCATATGGTGAGCCTCATTTTTTAGGATAAAAACAAGATTGATATTTTGGAAGTGTCGGCAAATGTTGAATTTTCATATCAACTTAAAGAAAGGTCTTTTTAACTCTGTTTATAGGAATTATTATATCCCTCCGATCCATATATAACAAGATTTGGAATTGAGAGTAAATGAAAGATTGAGTACTTCATCATCAGTTAATTTGTGGGGATAAAGTAGAATACTCCGTCGTAGTATATTTGTATTGTATATATACTGATTGATACCGATAACCATAAGTCACACAGTGGTAGTTGCTAATTAATAGTAGCCTGTAGCCAAGGTACTTGCATGATAGCTACAGTTAATCAAACATAGATACTGTGTATAGATAAGATCATAATCAATAAGTTTAATTAATTTATACATTGAAAAGGCTTTGATTTTATTACCTCGTCAGTTTTGCTTATAACTTTATTGCATGACAACTGGAGATGATATTGATACTTGCAAATTATGTAAAGATGGAAATTAGTAGGAATACATCTTTTACAATTATGATAATGTTATAGTCATCATCAATTCATCATATACTTGGTGTGTTATATTTGGATGTCATTTTATATACAGTATCCTGTATATTTTCGAGCTTCTGATCACAACATAGTACTCCGTATGCAGTTTGGGTTCGAATTATGCCCCGAGTTATTAAATAGAAGTTGCATTTATACGTTAGTTCATAATTCAATTTTCAATTACTTGTAATTTAATTTGTCATGTTGCCATTCTTTACATATTGATAGTTCGTTTTAAAAAAAGAACATAAAATATATGACATAAGTTAGTGGTAAGACATGCAGTGTTAAAAATTGAGATTGTTGTTTAAATCTTATCTAAACAACATTTACGTGATATTGTACTATAATGTAGTAGTGTACCATGTAAGGAGTATTAATTGGAGTACTTAGTACTAATTAATTAAAGATTTAAAACATGAAAACTAATGATCCCAGTAATTGAGCCACGGTACTGTCGTCCACTCGTATGTTGACCAACAATGGGAACAACTTTAGGGCATTGGACCGTCCAAAATAAAACTTGTATGTCAAAAAGTGGCACCACCGTAACTTATTAACTCCCCATAATATAATGTTAATAACGTTTAGTATTTGATAAGGAGGCAGATTCTCATTCGCTATAACAAAAAAGATCAAAATAAAGTATGGAAGTGGTAGCGTACAAACATTTTTAATTCTGGGGATTTAGTGATGATCGAATTCATGATATTATTCTACTTTGTTTAGTGGATTTTCGCCCACTTTTCTAGAATATATGCATATTGGTGATTTTGGTCCTCAAGTATGTACCTAATTAATTCCGACATAATGAAAATTGTAAGATTGATCTTTTATATTTATTTGATGATCGGATCGCCATAATCTAACTTTGTTATAATCTAATAAAAAGCGTTAATCTCAAAGTTGTTTTATATCATACTTGTATTATAATACTACCTATGTAAAAAATTGAAAGGGGTAATTGGAAAAAATATATATATAAGAAAAAGATAATTATAAAATGAAAAGATAAAAAAATTAAAAAATACATAAAATAAGGTAATAAGTAGTATACTTTACACTTGTATTGTCCAAGTTCATGTAAATCATGGAGACTTATAACAAACAAAGATTAGTGATGGCCAAAATCCTTGACAATGACGATTATTACCTAATTAATCAACCAAAACAAATCCAAATGATTTACTAACAAACAAAAAAAGTGTTACGTGCCTCACTCAACGCATTGGCAACCTTCTCATCGTCATCATCATCATCAATAATGCACCTTCTACTCACATCTAATTACCTAACAGATTAAAGGGTACCCTATTCAACTAATTAGTAGGAATTGCATTGTTAAGGTTCACATTTAA